ATCCATATTGGTACCCATTCCAAAGAAAGGTGATCCCACAGAATGTGGAAATTACCTAACAATATCATTAATATCACACACAAGTAAATTCTTGCTGAAGAAAATTCAAAAACAGTGCAACAACATATTGGTAGAGAACTTCCAAAAATGCAAGCTAGATTCAGAAGAGGATGTGGAATGAGGGATATCATTGCTGATGTCAGATAGACCTTGGCTGAAAGCAAACAATATCAGAAAGATGTTTACTTGTGTTTTATTGACTATACAAAAGCATCTGATTGTGTGTATTATAACAAATTATGGATAACATTGAGAAGAATGGGAATTGCAGAACACGTAATTGTACTCATGAAGAACCTGTTCATAGATCAGGAGGCTGTCATTCAGATGGAACAAGGGGATATTGCACGATTTGAAATCAGGAAGGGAGTGTGTCAGGACTGTACCCTTTCACCATAATGATTCAATCTGTATGCTGAGCAAATAATCCAAGAAGCTGGACTGTATGAAGAATGTGGCATCAGGACTGAAGGAAAACTCATTAACCTGTAATACAGATGACACAACTTTGCTTGCTAAAAGTGAGGATGACCTGAAGCACTTACTGATGAAGACTGAAGACTACAATCTGCAATATGAATTACACTTCAATATAAAGAAAGCAAAAGTCCTCACAACTGGACCAGTAAGCAGCATCACAATACATGGAGAAAAGACTGAAATTGTCAAAGACTTCATACTATTTGGTTCTACAATCAACACCAATGGAAGCAGCAGTCAAGACATCAGACGACGGAGGACTTCCGGTAAGATGGAGGAAAAGGTAGACAAGCGACATAGACCCTCTTCAACAAAGAAAAGAAAAATCAATTGACAGAGATACAGAAGATAATCCTGGAACCCTTAGCTTTGAAAGGAACTATACAGAAGTGGATTAGGCACCAACTAGTGAAAAAACCTGAACAAAAACAGTGAGTACAGAGATGGTCAGAGCTGCAGACTGTCAGCTACACTGATGAGACCAACAGCCTGAATATTTCCAAGTGGTGTTGGGACCTGAGAATTGACCTAAAGATCAGTCCTGGACACCAAGGGCTGCAGGGACAACTGCTCTGGTGGCCTATGACTAGGAAGGGAAACAGCAAGGAGGGAGACAACCTGAGCTGTGGACTTTCTGCTGTCTGGAGGGTGCAGCCATTTTGACTGTTTACACGTGGCAGCCATTTTGGATATTTAAGGTGACTGAGGCCACAGCCATTTTGAATGTTTACAAGTGCCAACCATTTTGGATTTTAAAGTGATAGCATTCTCGATCAGATTCCAGGGACCTAAGAACAGGCTCTGTTTGCCAGGGTTGGCAAGGACATATGAGAGGCTGACAAAGGAACGGAGATAGGTGCTGAGTTTATAAGTGCTGTCAACTAGTGAATAGAGGAGCAAAGCACAGTACCCTGCCTGTATAAGTAACATACAAAGAAAACGAAAATTGTGGGCAAGTCACTCCAACATATAATTACCAATTAAATATAAACACAAAAATGTCACAATGCCTTGGAAACAACAGAGCATCACAGTTCACACAAAGAAGCTAGATAAAGCAGGAAAAACAACAGACCAGGATACACACCCAAAACACATCCCTGAGGAAGATGCAGCGTTGGAACTCCCTGATAAGGAATTCAAAAGAATTATACTTAGGTATCTTCAAAACACTGAGAGACAGATCAAGGGAAACACAGAAAAAACCCTACAAGAATTTTGGAAGAAAATACAAGAACAAAATGACAAAATCAATGAAAAATTAGAAATTATTCTAAATCTACAGATAGAAATCCACAAGATTAATACTAAATTGTCAGAAATAGGTAACACTTTGAAAGGGCAAAAGAGTAGAATTAATGCAATGGAAGAGAGAATTGATGAGATTGAAGACAAACACCTGAATACTTCTTTGGAAAGG